CACGCCCTCAGCTGGTCAAGAATTCTACGCCAAGTTTCCTTCAAAGCCTCGATCGTGAGGACACGATCCTTTGGAGGGGGGTACTGTCACAAACCGCCCTCACGGCGCTACGTTTCCTTTTCGATTCGGACCACTGCCTCGTACGTTTCCTTATTGTTCACTACTCGCTACGGTTTCCCTTTGTCCACACATGGACAATAGCTCCCTTTGTTCCCACGTCCGCTATTGTCCTACACCCCTTGTACTTTGTACCCATGGCGACACTATTGTTCTCTAGCGCCCATTGTTCGTTCCCTGTATATAGCTGGATCCCTTGCTACCTGGAGACTCTAGTTTTGACCTCTTGTCTCCAGGTAAGCCATCGTGTATTTCGCTCTGTAGATACTTCGCTCAATACACACCTTGTCTCCAGTCCCGCCTGTTGAGCTCCGCTCCAGTCTCACTGCGATCAGAGCTCATTGGCACTCCTGCCTGCCTCGCTCGTCTCCACTTACTCGCTCGACAGTCAGTTGTAACAGAAAGGAAATGGTCCGGAAATGGAAGGTGGGCGTTAAAGGGAAGGGAATGGGCGGCAAAAAGGGGTGTCTGTCCAACGTCCGTGACACTGCCTTTTCTGTGGCGTGTTTCCGTTGGTGACGTTGGGGCTGCTCTGTCCGTTGTATCGGTGGGGGCACAAGTGGTTATTGCAATTGCGCCTATTCTGTCCTTCTCTATTGAAGCTGATGTCGCGTCGATTCTCGGGGTCGTATCGGTGAATATGTTGGGCGCAATCGGTCTGCTGCATATTCATGCGGAGGGGTACCTAGTCCAGGTGGAAGTTGCGTAGAGTCGCCGAATAGTCAGAATCGGCACTAGCGTCAGGGGACTCGTATCCGTTTCGAATGATGTGACGGTGAGATTCATATAGTTCCCTGGCCCAAACGAGTAGATGTAGGCGTCGGCAGTGTTCGGTGAAGTCCAGGTCCAAAAGACTCTGAATGTTACGAAGATTCTCGGCCTGTTCGCGAATTCAAGCAGCAAAGTAACTGGATCCGTGGCGCTCTTCTGGGTCGTGGCTGACGGGGACGGGAGGAAGGGGTGGGCTGACGAGCTGTTGGAGGTTGTGAAGGGTGTTGAGGACCAGCTGAACTTGTTTGATGAGAACCTGGATGTGTGCTTGCTCAGAGATCGGGGTGAGGGTCGGGTGGTGGTTGGTGATGTCGTACAACACGCTCATGTTGTCCCAAATTTTCGTAAGAAGGGAGAGGATGTCTAGTGGTTCGGTGCTCGAGGGGTTGCCTGCTGATGATTCTTGCTTGGTGTTGACGAGTGATGGTAGTTCGTCGTCCGCGTCGTACCTGTCGTCACGGAGTACCCAATGCTCGAGTTTGTCAAGGATAGTAAACTCGAGGCTCACCTGGTTTGGTGCCCAAGAGCCGATGCTCAGGCGATATTCATTCCAAACTGGGCTATGAAGGACGGCTCGTGCGTGAGTCCTTCCGATCTGGTCAAGCGTCCGTTGACGGATGAGTTCGATAGATGCCTGTCTCTGAGGCGTTGGTGCTACTGGTCGATCAAGGAGTAATCCTTCCTGGTAGGTCGCACGTCTGTATGCTTCCTCGAGCTGCCGAATGGAACGTTCAGCGTCCGCTGGTGTGGCTTGGCGTTGTACTAGGTTGTACGCTCGATGTTCCTCGGGGGTGCGGTTGTGGTTGTACATCAGCAAATGTGCGAAACCGTGCCAGCGGCAATGCCATGCGTGGCAGGATTAGTAACGCCCAAAATGGCAAGCCGGGTATTGCAACACCCAAGCTCGCCATTGCAAACCTCGGTGGGGCGAGGCGATTTATAAGGCCGTCAGGGACTCTGGTGGCAATGACATTGCATACAAGAGGCTCGCGATGTATATATCTTAGAGTGACCATTCTTTGACATGCATACAGTAAGGGAATGACATGCGTACATCCCCGGATGAGACTGTATGCCGCTACAATTGCTGCCGCTCAAGTTAATGCGCGTCCACTACAAGGTTTATCTATGAAAGAATAGGAACAAGATCGTATCAGGTACCGGTCACCCAATCAGTTGACTTGTTGCGCAGGCAGAAGCAGAAGTCACTCAGTTCACCTTGATCCTGTCAGGCCGCTTACAGTATCTTCTACCGTGACTCGGCTTGCATGTACTTCACCAATCAGTCCTACGAGACAGACAGCGATGAAGATGCCATGACACTCAGTCGGATGACAAAATGAGTTGTTCATTTCGAATATGATATATCCAATGGCCGAGGACGTAATAAGATCGAGGGAAAGAATGTCGCACCTGGTACATAGAGCACCGCACGACTCCTTCTCGACCAGACTGATCGACCACCCCAACCTCAGAAGCCCGCTCTCTACCCATGTTCCGAACCTGCGTGTGTATCCAAGCGTGTTTCAGGCCTAGATCCCCCCTACCACCCGCTTTTCCCGGCACGGCCGTGGCTGTCGGCGGACATCGTATGTACGTCGTACGCAGCGTTGGGGATTGTACGTTCAAAATGGCTTGGCCAAGGGTATGGTTTGATGATAGCGTTGTATCATCCTCTAAGCCTGTCGCCGTGATTAGAGTCTGAGGCGGCGGAGGACCAGCTTGGAGGTCACATCATTCAACAGGCAAATGACTGAGTCAGAAGGGAGAGTGCTGTCTGTGTGAGTCTGAAAAAGGCTGAGAGGGTCACTCCCGGTCGATGAGAGCCAAGAGACAAGGCTAGGCTAGGAAGATGATGAAAACATGGTCGGCATCGTGGGCAAAGACAAGCAACGCACGTCAACAGCATCGCTGAACTTGACTCTTACCTCCACATTGAGGCCACCAGTACCTGTTCCCTTGTAGCGAGGGCAGTGCATTCGTTCTTTCTGGGACTCCGATTGACACTGGAAAAAAAGTCTGTCCAACATCGCCGAGTGAACTTTGGCCTTGCCTCAACAGCTTGACAGCACTTGCGCCGCGAGCAGAAGAGCGTTGGGTTAGGGGTAAGGCGGCAGATCAGCCTCAATACGTTGGCACGTGTGATGTCATAGCTCGCAACCTGTCATGTTCTTTGTTTGTCCCTCAAAAGCCTAGGCGAGCGCGCAGATCAGTCGTTGCTCCTTTCCTTTCCTCTCCTACCATCAACATGCCCCCCGCATACCAAGGCACGCTAGAAATCAAGCAATTGGTTCAGCACATTGACGACCACGAGGAGAAGCGGGAGGAGATGCTCAGCCAGTACTCAAGGTATGCCGCACGCCTCTTCGATGTCCAGCAGCGTCTTTTCTTTGTCATGAGCACCGTCACGGGCTGCACGTTTCACACTCTTTAGTGGGATCGACCCAAGGTTGTGATGTCCTCAGCCATCGACCACTTCGAGACGGCAGCTAGTCTGCAACGTCTTGTGGTGGATCCCCCTCGCTCACCGCTACATCCCTGAGTGCATGGGGCTGACCCTGCTGTTGTCGGCTGAGCTCACAAGATGCTCGTTGGAGACAGATGACTACTGCTGCCACCAGACATGACAGCGATGTGGATCATCCACGGTACTAAGTCGAGGTGCCAGGCAGGAATGGGAAGTTTTACTTTCTTATCTGCCGACTGACCTTCTCTCGGTACGCGTGATCAGCGTTACTGGTCCTCGTATAGGCCCTAAGGCCGCGTAGCTTGTCGAACGGATTGCCGCTACAAGGTTTCTCCAGCTTCATTGGGCGTGGGCTCGCTATTTGTGTTCAGTCTATCAGTTTTTCCGCGCATACAGCAGACTCTGGCCTCACATTGGTGTCCACAGATGTGCACCTCAAACATCTCGCGTACATTGAGCTGGGTGACTTTACGACTGAGGAGTCTCCTGCTGCTGTGCAGCGCCGCTCTGCTCTGTTCGCCGACCAGACATACAGCCCGAATTTGTGGTCAACGTGTGAGGCCCTGCTCGCGCCCGGACGCAACTACCAGCTCTCCCTCCGCAGAGGCCGGCCGGCCCCCCCACGTATGTTCCTTCTTGTTTCACGTCCCTCCATCCTTCCTGTCTCACCGTATAATGCTCCCAAGCAGCCGCTGCCCCCGCCGTCACACTCAAACCCTCCACCCCTGCCCAGAACACGCCATGCCTTGCCTCGTTTTTCAAGACCATGCAGTCCTCGCGCAGTCCTTTCCGTTCCGCACCTCGCTCAACATGCCCGCCTCGGATGGCCCTTTAGCCACCGCGGTGTCCGAGATGGCTGAAGCCGAGGTGTCGCACCTCTCTGAGCCCTTCCGTTTCATGCTGCCCTTGACTCAGCCAGCATCTGTGAGCACGGAGATTGGAATGGCGAAGAAGGTGGAGGAGAGTGTCACACAGGTCGTCAGCGAGACCAAGTGTGGTGCGAGGGCGTCGGGAAAACGGTTGCATGAACTTATCGTGTTGTATTTAACGTAATTTGACACGATTTCCCGCGTATATTCCCGTGTGATATCGTGTCGGGTTTCGGGCGATTGTGCCTGCGACGGACCTGCATTGTCAACGCCATCTCTGACTATCCATACAATGGTATTGGCATGGGAACTCCTGGCTCACATGATAATCCCTGGCTGAGCGCGCCCATGTGTTCCAGTGCGAGCTTATTGAATACAATGACGGCCTGATATACTATGATGATCACAGGATTTCAGCTCTCATATCTAACGCCAATAGACCACCTATCTTGTCAAGACTAGCGTTACAATGAAAGCTGGTATAAACACTCCTTATATTGCCAATACAACCCGCATTACAATGATTCAACATTTTTACTGATGTAGACGACTACCTCGTCGTCCGAGTAATCGACCGTAGTATGGTCACGGCCGTGCGTTCGTCGAAGTCTGTCTGCGAGTTGACAAATAGAGTGCGCCACGGTGAGTCCTATCCAAGGCGTGGTGGGAAAACTTCTGTTCTAATGTTACGCTGAAGTACTAACACAAGTCTATCCAGACTTATCACGCAGACTTATCCAAGTACGTGGTGTAGCACACGGGGGAGAGAGCATCGCACAAGTCCCTAGATTGAGGGATATAGGGATACAGGAGGTAACGAAGAGGAGAACAGAAGTGGGTAGCCTCTACCGACTACAGGCCTCCTTATATACTATGGGGTACCGACCGTATTAGGAAGGGAAAGGTAACCGCCCAAAGTGGGGAGGTATGAGGAGACTGTAAAGGAACATGTCTGGTCAAGGCTGGGCCCGGTATGGTACACGACCTAGATCAGGGTCCTGTGATATAACCGAAAGGGGATAGAGGCGGGACAGGGTCCTGAGTCTAGGTCAGGGTCGGGTAATGTAACCAAAAAGGGAAAGGGGCGCGACAAGGGTCGGGGTCTGGGTCAGGGTAAAGTAACGTAACCGAAAAGGGAAAGGGTCAGGGTCGGACTCAGGATCCGGTCATATAGACGGAAGGGGAAATATTGAGGGAGAGGGCCGGGACTAGGAACACAGTCGTCAGGGGGCGGAATGGGGGGTGGTAGTGTACAGACGGACGACAGGGGAACGGGAGGGTAAACATAGGTCGCCGGGAACAGGAAGGGGGGTGGAGTGTACACGAGGGCGACGAGAAGGAGTAGTCCAATAGCGAAAAGATAGGGGGGTGGGGCGTACCAACGGTAACACCTAAATCATGCTGTCTTGCTTGTCCTGATATACGGTACATGGCTACTACCACTACCCTACATGGCTATTTCGACCCCCCGACTGCAATCCCACGAAAAAGACCATGACCGCTCATATGCTAACCTGCAAGCCGCCCGAGAAGCCGCTAAGGCATCACGGCAATACGACTCGGTGGTAACTCGCAAGGCGCTCGAAGTGAGGTTCCAAGAAAGGATGGGGGGGAGGATGCCACATGAATGGCAGGTGGATGTCGCGGAGGCCCTGTTGGTAGGGTTAGACTACACAGTTATAGCGGGGACAGGGAGCGGCAAAACGATGCCGTGAGACATCTGAGAGCCGGTCGCTGTCGCACTTGGACGGTGCATAGTCGTCGTCGCCATCGTCGTTGTCATCGTCGAAGAGGGCTCCCCAGCCGCTGGGGTGCTCCTCGAGGTCTTCTTCGGCTCCATGGGGTTCCATAGATGCGCGGGGACGGGAAGCTGAGTGACGGTGGGACGCAAGCAGGAGATGTCACAGTTGGTCACCGATGGGGGAGTCACGGGGGTGATTCCACCAGACGTTCAGGAGCCCGAATGCTTCCGATTTTTTCGCATCCGATTCAGGCTCCGAACGTCTGGTCACAAGACTAGATGGTCCGCCAAACAGTTCGGCGAACAGCCCCACGAACTGTGTCACAAATCATCACAGTGGCAATAAAGGGTGACTAGCTGTGACAGTTCGCCCCAACTGGGGTCGCGTGCTTTGCCACTTTCGTCTGTGTACCAGTCTATTGTGCTTCGTAAAGCTTTGTATGTAGATGTAGCCACAGAATGCGAGGTTCATCTTTGCTATCCAACTGCCATGGAACTTCAACATCTGGTGCAGATTCTCACTAGTCTCCCAGATTTTACTTCACTACGACTATCATATGAGAACATGCAGCTCTTCTGTGATATCATATGCTGGTTCAAAGATGAAATAGGTACACTATATTACATATCTCTGTGTTACGACTGACTGTCGAGCAAGTAAGTGGAGACGAGCGAGGCAGGCAGGAGTGCCAATGAGCTCTGATCGCAGTGAGACTGGAGCGGAGCTCAACAGGCGGGACTGGAGACAAGGTGTGTATTGAGCGAAGTATCTACAGAGCGAAATACACGATGGCTTACCTGGAGACAAGAGGTCAAAACTAGAGTCTCCAGGTAGCAAGGGATCCAGCTATATACAGGGAACGAACAATGGGCGCTAGAGAACAATAGTGTCGCCATGGGTACAAAGTACAAGGGGTGTAGGACAATAGCGGACGTGGGAACAAAGGGAGCTATTGTCCATGTGTGGACAAAGGGAAACCGTAGCGAGTAGTGAACAATAAGGAAACGTACGAGGCAGTGGTCCGAATCGAAAAGGAAACGTAGCGCCGTGAGGGCGGTTTGTGACAGTACCCCCCTCCAAAGGATCGTGTCCTCACGATCGAGGCTTTGAAGGAAACT